AACCTGCTACACAGCTACAAAATTACTCCTAAACCTCCAGCCCATCTTCCAATTTAGATAATACTTAAGAGTAACCATGCGGAGGCCTGGTCGACGACCGGGCCGCGGGTACGCTAAGCCCTGGAAACACCTCAAGGTAACCATCTTACATATATTGATGTAATGGACAATTGGAAAGTAGAATTTGGAGCTAGTGTATTAAATTTGGATGAACTGGAAAAAGTTTTGTATTTACGTTGCTTATAAAACTAACCTAACCTAACCATCCTAGGCCTAATACACATACTATTTGAGGCCTAATATAGTACATATGTGCACTATACTAGGCCTAGAAATATTTAAGTTTGGATATTAGGATCTTTTTTTTTTCCAGGACTCTAAAGTGAATACAGTAATGCCAAATTCTACTACAGTACTGGTATTTAATAATCCATTTGGTCAATATATATGTATACTGTACGATGGTCCATATATTTACAAAAATACTATCTAAATTGGAGGATAGGTTGTAAAAAATTTTAAGGTCAATACAGTACAAAATTTACTCACTTACATGGGATATTTTAATTAAAATTTGCAACATTTGAAGGCATCATGGTAGTTAGTGCAGCACAATCCAACACTATTAATCTCTCGGCTTCATTAAATAACTTTGGATTCTCTTTTTTTTTTAACCCCTGAACTGTGCATAGTGCCTTAAAGCACTCAACCCGTTGTGCACATAGAAATATAGTGCCTTAAGGCATTTTTAGGTACTGTATAGTGAATGATTCAACACTCCCACAGGTACACATGGCTCACAACCTGTTCCTTATGACTCCAACAAACAGATGCCATATTGTAAAACATTTTCTACATCCCTTCTGGCTGCGAGAGCTTCAGTACTGCCAGAGCAACAATGGCTAACAAATGCAGCAGCAGCTCACAGCACAGCTGCACAAGCCTGTGCAAGTTACAGCACCACTTAATAATGATGAATAAAATGAGTAACTGCAATTATTTTACAATGATAGTGTCATAGATGATCCCGACTGTAATAAAAATTATGTACAAGGTTCAGATATAGAACACAATGCTAGTTACGATGTTCACAGCACACAGTCGAGGTTTGGCGCACCTACACATCATGCAATGTGACCTCACATTCCTTCAGAAAATATTCTCGTGGAAAATTATTAATATTTATGATTGAGTGGCAGGAATCTGATAATAGTAGTAGTGTTTGTAGTAATAATAGCGATGTGCATAATATATTTCTGGGTATTTTGCTCTGACAGGTGACATCGTCTGCTGGAGTCAGCTGTTTGTTACGTGTAGTTCTATCCTGTACTGTGCTAAGATTTCATTACTGCATGCACCAGAATTACTCAAGTGGCTTGTTATGACTTAGAAAAATACAGATATATATAATGTGCATATAGCATACTGTAACAGCAAAAACAGTTTTATTGATCTAAGAATATAACATACACATCACTAGATATGAGCACCATATTTTTTTAGCTCAGCAATGTTCCACACATTTAATACTGGATGGGAAAACCTCGGTCTCACTCACCCCTCGCCTCTCTTCACCTGTCCCTACCCACTCTTCTCTCCTCTCCACTTGCCCTATCTCTTCCTCCTGTCTTCCCCAACAGCCTTGAGGAGGATTTGAATCCTCAAGGGTCCAACTCATTTTCTCCTCCATATATCATAATATGAATTCCTTGTGCATTTGAGGAGAAGAGCTGGAGGCAGAACTCATTTTCCACAGCCAGAGTGTATGGGGGAAATGTGTGAAACTCTGACTAGGTTTCAGTGAAAGCTTCACGACCTCTAGTGGATTCAGTTGATCTGAGGACGAGTTGGGGATTCAAGTCCATTTCATCCAGGGGTCTACCCCAAAGACGCATTCATCAATTTTAACATGCTGTTGATTCAAAATAGGAATTTTCTCAAATATAAATTAATATTGATATATATTAGCATACTGTGCATATTTTAGGCATTGGATAGGTTAGATTGTTTAGATGTTGTTGACTTTGTATTTTGTAGTACATGGGTGAAGCATTTACAGCACTGTTGTTCGAACAAAAGTCATCAGCAAAGCACTTGTTCCAGAAGTGTTCGGACGTCATCAGTTGGGAGTCGTGTGCATACCTTTTTCATTCATAAACAGGGTTTAGCAGGTGCATGGAATGGACTTTGTCCTTTGTTTATGAGGATGGGCTGGAATTCCAGGTTACATTACCCAACTACTTAGAATGGACGATAAAGCGACGGTTTCACGTCATGTAGGTCGGGATTCAATCCTCGACAGTCCAAGTAGTTGGGCACCATTCCTTTCCACCGTCCCATCCCAAATCCGTATCTTGATCCCTTTCAAGTGCTAGTTGTAATAATTTGGCACTTTCTCCTTAGAATTTCTATTGCAGGTTACATTACTTTTGTGCAAATCATGCTTCAGTGGTTGAAAGACGTGTGCTTCCAAATTTTGGTGCTCTCTTAAATTTTATTTCCAGGCATGTGCTTGGAAGTACCAAGTGTGCAGGTTTGAATTCTCCTCAAGGCTCCTATCGATTTTTTCAATATAATATTGAACTACTGTACTTATAAACGAGGAAGAACTATTACGTGCCATTTAAAAATTGCAGGATAAGTCACTCACACTTGCTCTAAAGTTTCCTCCTGCAGAAAACGCTTAATTTTACACACACAATTGCAAGAGGCCTGCCTGCTGCTGTCATTTGCACCTTTGCAGCCCACACCACATGTCCTCTATGTTGTCCTATGATAAAGCAGCATGCATCAAGAAGATTGCAAAGAAATCCTGGATGCTTGACAAAAACACAAAAATATGCTGCATTCACTACTCAATGAATGCAGGGGCTCAATTATAGAAAGACTTGAAAATCTTGACCTCATAAGGCACAGAAGTTGACCCAAATGTAAGTGGAGAGTAATAAAGAAGTTTTGGACACCCATGAAGCAGTAAAAAGGACGAATTAGCTTTTACCAAAACTCAGCGTTCAGGCTTGCATGCCACCCCTCAAGTACAGTAAACCCGAATTGAGTAGTCAGGCAGTAAGTGACTGAGTTGCCAATGTAACGACTACCTTCACAAATATGTAAGGAATCATTCAAAACTTTGTATACCACATGTGTCAGACCAGTTCTGGAATATGCAGCTCCAGCGTGGAGTCTGTATCTAATCAAACACAAGATGAAGTTCAGAGGTATGCCACCAGACTAGTCCTAGAGCCAAGAGGTATGAGCTACGAGGAAAGACTACAGGATCTGAACCTCAACCACTGATAGACCAAAGAGTTAGGGGAGACATGATCACCACATACAAAATTCTCAGAGGAACTAACAGTAGATGAAGACAAACACGAACATTTGGCACACGAACAAAGGGACACAGGTGGAAATTGAGTACCCAATGAGTTGCAGACACATTAGAAAGAATTTTTTCAATGGCAGAGTAGTTAACAAATAGAATGCATTAGGAAGTGATGTGGTGGAAGCAAACTCCATACACAGCTGCAAATGTAGATATGATAAAGTTCAATAGGCTCAGGAACCTGGTCACCTGTTGATTGATGGTAGATGTGGTAAAGAGCCGAAGCTCAACCCCCTCCCCCCCCCCCACCACACAAGAAGGTGAGTACATCACAAATACCCATAGGAAAGACCTCTGTAAACATACTATTCATGAGAGAAAATATTGCAAGTGTATGCTACTCTTAAAAAAAAATGAAACAGTGCAATTATTTAGAAAATTCTCAAATTAAAATACTGTTAATGAAGCCTGAACCAGAGTTAATTCAATTCTGAATAGCATTTTCAACTACTGCTATCCCTCAGTAATACATTACAAAGAAAACAATTCTCCAAAAGCCCTGTATAATAGTCAAAATATTCAAGGAAGCTCAAAACTTGTCACGCAATTTTCTGTAGCTGGGACCGGTGTTACAGGAAGAAATCGGTACTGTGCCAGCAAATGATGAGGGGTAACAAAACTCAGATTAAACCAAGTCAGAAAGCAGAGATGTGAGATGCCTTGTGAGATGCCTTCATACTGGAAATAAGAAGCAGAAGGCAAACCTTTTAATGTATGGCTGGAAAGAAAATTTCCTTAGAAGTTTGATACATTACCTCCGAGCCCAAAAAAATACAAGTGGACTGAAATATTATATTTACCATACATGTAATGCGTCTCACTTTCTTCAGGTCAAACAAAATGGTCACAACTGAATTATGTGGCAAAAAGAGCTACAAATTTAAGCTTCCAAATCTAACAGGATGTCAGTAGGGCTATGACATGAAAGCCAAATTGGGATAGAAGAGGCAACAATTTGTTTTTTTAAAAACCACAAAAGATGCATGTTAATTATGGTAAAAAAAATGTTGCAGCTACACCTGGTCAGAGTAATGGGGCAAAATTTCCCCCGAAACTGCCCTTTATACCAGGTTTCTTAATGATGAGAAAAATTAATTTCAGACCTCATGGGCAGACCCAGAGTCCTAGAATATTTATAAATATTCAACAAATACTTAAAAGTATGGGAAGGGAGACAGTGAAGCATCTCATAGTAAATACTATTAGAGCCCACTGCCATGGAGTGACAAACGGACAGCATTGACTAAAGATACCGAGTCGAGATGATTTTGGAGTATCGTAATGGCATGCTGAAGTTCAAAGTGCGATATTCACCTTAGGTTATATGAAGAATAAAGTTGATAGGGAGGTGAGAAATAAGTACTAATGGCCAAGAAGTGTGAATTGACCTCTTGGGAATGAGCCATTATCTTGGTAATAAGAAAAACATGAGGATGAAAGACAGGCACTACACCAGAACAAAGTTCACCAGCAAGCTGTAAATCTCTCTCTACACACTTGAAGAGTACTGTATTAATATAGATAGTGGAGATATAAACACTCAAATTCTCCTGTTCAGCATTTAGCCCTGCAAGCTACAGCACTAGCTTTTTTTTTAACATGAAATAAAAGATTCAGAGCCTCTCATTAAAAAATCCGCATTGAATGTAATGAAACGCCATTTTCTGGGCAAGACCCATAGGCTCTCTGGAGTGGCTCCCCCAAGAAAATCCTCAATGTCATCATGAGTCTATATAATTGGTTTAAACAATGTTAAATGTAAAATATTGTCAACATTTAAGTCAAGCCCCCTAAAACACCAGTATGGTATATTAAACAATATTTATCTGTACTATTATCTTTCAAATTTAGAAGCTAATAATTTTCTGAATTTAAGCCTAAGCAACACTTGCTTAAAAATATGGTGCTCTTTGCCTTGCTGGAAGTGATAATTTTACTAAGCCAACTAACTATTAGCTTCTCACATAACTTCATGCAATGTTTGGTACCATAGAATTTTGTAATTAATTGATATATATACAGAAATCACACTAGCAAGTGAAGGGATGACAATGTTTAGGTCCATCCTGGACCATTCTCAAGTCGATTGTGAATGACGTCCTGACAATCGACTTGAGAATGGTCCAGGACGGACCGAAACGTTGTCGTCCCTTCACTTTCTAGTGAGTGGTTTGGTCAACATATTTCAGCCACTTTATTGTGACTCCTCGTCTGCAAAGGAGTACGAGCCTGTGCAGTTCCCCTCCAACTTGCTCATTGGTCCCAGCAAGCACTTTAAAACTTTGTTGCTTTTAGTTTCACTAAAGCATTGACATTGACGTTGTGTCCGGGAGCGTTAATATAAAAATAAAAAAGAACTACAACATCTTAACTGTGAGGTTGTTACGAGGTCATTGGCACCTTAATAGGACTGTATATCCTTCCCCACAAGAAACAAAGAAAGCCGAGCACAAACCAGCCCATCTACTCATGATTGTCCTCAACAAATTCGTATTTTTTTACTAAATATCAATGACAATTTTAAATAAATAATTGCCATTGAATTCTCCGAGTTATTAACACACAAAAATAACAAAGTTTATCAGATAAATTGATTTAAAATATTCCCATGAAGTGTGTGCCAAGGTTATGTGCACTATATTTCCCACATATTACTAGGAAAAATATATTACATACAATCTAATAATACTGTGTATATAACTGGTCAAAGCTTTCTATAACTGATAATTTATGCAAGTTCTATTTGGAATATGCGCCAAGACGAACTAAGTTACCCAATTTCCTGAATACAATCAGGCAGAATGGTCTTTCATAGATAAGAGGAAGACTGAACAAATTAAGGCAAATCTCTTGAAAACTACGTATGTTAGATCTAGAGTTTCGTCTCTTTCTCGTTAACCTAGAAAAATGAATGTAAAATGTACCATTCCTCAGGTTAATATTATAAATGAATTGACCTATGTAATCTGTAATCCCTATACAGTATATAAAGATTACTAACATTCCTCATCAATAGATGGCTCTGCTATAGGCATCACCATAATCTAGCAGGAAATAAGAATTCATAATAAATTATGTAATACATAAAACTGCTTTGGTACTTGATACTCTGAATGTCATCACTGGTATCACACTGACACACTGCAAATAAAACATATCTAGTGCTATAATCAACAATAATGACCATTTGGTACTAACGGTTAGAACTAATTTATTTTCTGATATTTTACATTGTAATTTTTAATTATGCCATTTTATATTATTTGATTTTGTTTACTCTAATACACAAAACCTTATATAATGTGGATAACACTCATAAATGCTTATATTTTTTCAGATTCATCCATTCCTCAAAAACTATTAGGTAGAGAGACCATGTGGGGATGTCACATACTGTAAAGATAACTACTAGTTAAACTTGAAGACTTACAAATAGCACATTTGGATATAAATCACATTTGTTCATTTCATGTTTAATCCTTCAAACTCATCTTAACTTATAAAAGGATTCCAGACATACTTGTTAACAGATGTCACCTTTAGAAAGGTTCAACCATGCAGAATCTTATAGTCACCATACCATTCTGACCAGGAGCCCACTATGTAAGCAGAAATTATAACAGTTGACCTGCTCATTAAAATGATTCTTACAATTTAAATAGGTTAAACAAATTTGAGTTTTCTTAGGATTAGGTTAAGTTATCTGATGAGTAATCTAACCTTCATTATCGAGAAGTGAATAAACATCCGGACTCAAGTCCTTGATTTGTTTTTTGCAACAATTTATTTTGTCATTTATTAAGTTGTATAAAGGGGTATATACTGCAGTATCTAAATGTTATCCCGAAGATATAACAGTCTCTGAAAATGCTCTTAGCGAAGTGAGAGTACAAAGACCATTTTCCCCATTTCACCGTGGGGTTTCTTGCGATACCTGATACATAATTTCAAGATCATTCTTTTATGGTATACTAAACTGTATACAAAAGTCCTCCACTTGCACAAAAAACTATAGTGACTAATGAAAAAACTTTCAGCTATTATAACTGTCTTTATTTGAACAAATGACTCCTTTTCAAATGACGGTTAATGAATATTCCCATGCAAATTTTTAAACAGGATTTTTGATTTTATATTTTCTTATACTTTGGCACTTAGGATCGTAGCCCTTGCCATGAACAGATTTAGGGCAGTTCAGCTTAGTGAATGGCCCTGAAACATTCATAGAACTATATTAAATATTTTATTATAACTGTAGTATTAAAGTGATACACAGTATATTCTGAAAAAAAAAACTCATTAGATGAAGCTGAATTTTTTCTAAATATTTAGAAATTGTATGTGACACTCGTGTTGTACTGGGTAGGGAGCAGAAAGAGCCTTTCAAAGATGACTAGTTAATTGCTGCTCGGGAGCTTCTTGAGTCTTAAGCCCAGTCCTTCGCCTTGCAATTTAAAAGAATGAAATTACAGTAAAGGCCATCCTTAATCCTCTCGTTTGTTAAATATATTTTATACATACAATATATGTTGTGAACATTTTGGGAGAACAAGTCAACTAGGCTTAAGAGGTACAGAATGTTTTGTCCAACAGGCAGAGCTTATTATTTAAAACATGATGGTACCTATAGTTACTATGGCAGGACTGTTGTAGCCAAACAGTATGGTTTTTTTTTTTACTACAGGTAAATAGTGTAAAGGGCCTGAGAAGGCAACAACCATACATGACTTCCTAGGCCTAGTATAAGTCTAAGTAAGGCCTAAGATGGCATATCATTGGCTTAGGACAGGTTAGGTTTATGGTCACTCTGGTCCACTTCATGGTGCGGCCTTTGGTACTGTTATATAACATGTAAATGTTTTGTATCGAAGCATTTTGTACATTAAATGTAAACAAAATGTAAATATACTGTTGTACAAAATGTAAACATTTTTGGAGGTACACATCCATATTTTGTACATCCCATCTATAGTAACTATAGGTTCTATTCTTACTGGAGGATGACCCAATTATTTTATCTAAAAAGGTAAAAAGAGTCAGTTTGCTAATGACAAAATTAACATTTCAGCAATGTTAACAACAAACAATGCCAACAAATAATTTTCACCTTAAATTATGTTGGGTTTCAGCAACATTATAGTTGCATTTTTTATGTGGTATGGTTAGGTTAAATTTAACTAGTTTCAGTGTAAAATAAAGATTTTGTTTATGCTTATCCATGTGGATCTACCTACCAATATGTAAATTAACACACGTGAATTTTTTTTATTTCTCAGGATATTTGGTTTCAAGATTCTGCACGACACATCCAGACATTACAATAAGGAATGCTTCACTAAACATTTATTTCCACTTGAGTTTTTAGGTACTAATTGATTAGAATCAGTAATATAGTCTTTCAAAACTGTTGATTAAAGCAGATTTTGAGCAAATGTGACACGGACACAACAATGCCTACGAGATATGCTACGTACAGAGAGGTTAAAAAACACCGTACAAATCTATCAATCAATAATAAAAAATATTTAAATCTAACATTATTGTCGAGCAGATACTTTCAGATCACCTGTATTCAGTTGACACTTTTTTTTGAGAGCGAGGAATCTTCAAACATACAAAGCAATCACAAGCTCCTGAATGGCAACCTGAGACTCTTCCTGCACCTGAGATCTGGCAACACTGACCCCTGGTCCCGACATATTCAGAGCACCACCTGATGGCAAGTGGAAGCCTTGGAGTAATCACGCCTGCAGCCAAGGCATAAACATTTGGCCACCTTCATTACGTTAGCACAAGAAAATTACTGTACCAAGAAACATTGCCAGAAATTCAAACTATGTATACACTGTGCTTGACCACTGCATTAGAAGTGTATACATATACATATAATATATAAAATATATATATATATATATATATATATATATATATATATATATATATATATATATATATATATATATATATATATATATATATATATATATATATATATATATATATATATATATATATATATATATATATAAACAAATTTAATTGAAATCCATCTAAAAGTATAGCAATTACTGAATATTTTGAACAATCAAGAAAATAATTTTTTTTAAACAAAATTGAATTCTATGGGGTCTGAAATACTAAACCAATTTTTTCATGTGAATTCTGCTAAATTCATAAACACAAAGCCAATGCATTTTAAAGACATTAATAACCCCAGTCTTGTTCTCCCGTATCTTCCTCTGCAACAAACTCTTCTTAAGAGATGGCTTAAACTGAACTCAAAACTTGTTTACGTTCTGTACCCAGAGCCTGAATTTCAGATTTTGTAATGCTGTATAGTGCAGAAAGTAGCCACAGAACATATTTCAATGATTCATTATTAATATTTAGAATTATACTAAGAAAACTATTGACAAATTTCTTCATGCTAATTCAAGAAAATTTAACCCATTCAAATGTCAGTAAAATGTTAACAAAATTTGCTTTTATTTATTTTGTAACACTAAAATTTATGATGACAATTCTGCAGGTAAAGAAAAGCCATCTTAATTAAGACATTGCTTAATGTTTGCTACTAATACATTTCAAAGAACTGCCTTACCAGCATGATGATGTTTCTCAATATAATAAGAAGCCTCAAAATATAGCCATAAAATAAACTTAACATACAGTCTGTGGTATGAAAAATTAAATAAATTGAAGGAAAATAAGGCTACTGAGTACTGATAAATAAGCCATTTGGTTACAAGTTAAAGTCAAGTCACGTCTTGAGCATAAAACTCATTTTATGGTGCAGGAGGTTGCGTTAAAAGGTTACAAATTCTCTCAAAGAATTAACCAAAGTGCAATAACAATAACAATAAAAATTCTCACTTACTGGAACTAAGAGCTCATGTACAGCTCTTACTGTACACTTCTACATTTATATAGGTCTTACCATCAGAAAGTGAAACCGAAGACTGCACCACTACTTCCTACAGTCACTCGATATCACTCGAGCTGACAGAATGTGATGTGCCCATACCATGAGCTGTCTTTTAAAGATGCCACAAACTAAACCCCATTTGTAGAAATGGACAAAAATCTTAACACTGTCCACTCCACACCTGGTTGGTGACAGTCAGTCAAACACTGCCTGACAAGCTTGCATTGCTGCTTTACTACCGAACCATGCCTACCGTGCCTACCATACAGCTCCACACTATATCATAACCCTAACACACACCACCAAATTCAATTAAAAAATATAAACTTTAAGCCTCATAAGATTGATAAAATTCATACTTATTGTATACTGCCAAGGTGGACCGTGTGTCGACGGACAAGGAGACTAGTGGAGTCACAGAGGGAAGCACTGGAGTAAGACGATGACGTTACTAGTTTTTCCATGAAAGATTCATCCTCACTATCACTTGGTATATGCTGCTGAATATTCTGCATCTTGTTGTCCCGCACTGAATCTAGATAGCTAGCTTTGCTATCAACAACACTGAGTGAAATTCCAAGCTGAGCTGCATAGTACGATACCATTATGATGGCCTAGAGTGAAAATATGATTAATGTATTGCTGGCACATTATTTTACACATACCGTATATCCTCATGTAATAGATTTAATATAGTAGATTCCCTAGAATTGCATGTATACCAGGTCGACATTTATTGGTTAGGGTATTACAGTATCTTGTACTGTACGTAGAAACAAGTCCCAAAATCATCTTTAATTTATGGCAAATAAATATTATTTCAAATACTAAAATAGCATTATTTCTAACCGTACAACAGTAGGTCCAGACATTTAGGTTCAAACGTGTATCTACTTTACTGTAGCCTGCCCTCTAGCTGGGATGCTGTGTGCTTGCAGTTAAACAGTATAATGGTGTATATACAGTTAAACAGTATAATGGTGAGCAGTATACATCTGATGGTGGGTGCTAATTTGCCATTTTTAAAATATATGCAGAAGACACGGGCTGTCATGGGGGTGGAGCAGCAGCTGTCACGGGCTGCTTCCTGGGGGTGGAGGCCAGGTCTAGGACCGGGCCGCGGGGACACTAAAGCCCCGAAATCATCTCAAGATAACCTCAAGATAGAAGACACACTGCTAGCCTTCAACCCTTATATTTCCTCATTTTCAAACAATAAAGACATGCATCATGCGAACGTCTGTTTACAGGGTGAGGAGCACGTTTCACAGACAGCTGTCAAAATGTTCAAAATAAGGCAAATATGACACTGGTATTTATTTCTAGAAGCAGTAGCAACAAAACACCTAATGTCACTTGTAGAGATATGGAATGATATAAGATAAACTTATCGTCTCACAGGGCTAGTATTGCAGACTGATCCAAAACTTGCACAGAATTTGTGAACCAGCCACCCTCTCTGGCCAACAGTGTCAGTCAACCAACCAGTTACCCAGCAGTGAGAAGTTACCCGGTGGACAGATTTTCATCTGTCCACTTTTCAATTTGCTCTTTTGTTTTAATATATTATCAGTATTTTTTTGTTTTTTTTACTGTATTATTTACTGTATTATGTAACTACTGTATTTTTCATGAACTCTGTGTGTTGTTATACAAATACAGTACTGTATATGGAATGGGTCAGGCTGAGTGGGATTTTTTTTTACAATCCACAGCAATCTTCGTGGCGTAGTGGTAAGACGCTCGCCTGGCGTTCCGCGAGCGCTTTGTCCTGGGTTCGTATCCTGGCCGGGTAGGATTTACTGGGCGCAAATCCTTAACTGCAGCCTCTGTTTAACTCAACAGTAAAATGGGTATTTGGTTGTAAAATTGGTTGTAAAAACAATTCTTTGCGGGGGTTGTATTCCAGGGAACATAGGATTAAGGACTTGCCCGAAATGCTACGCGTACTAGTGGCTGTACAAGAATGTAAGAACTCTTGTATATATAAATAAATAAATAAATAAATAAAAATATGTGGAGGCGCTATCATCGCAAACTCAATATTGCCTCGACACTATCACAACATACAATACTGTATAGGGGTAGTTATAGAAAAACAATTTCAAGTACTATACTGGTATTTACTGATAAACTACAGAACTAAGGTAAGGGGAGGGGGTGTGTGTGTGTGTATTTGTAATTACCTAAATGTAGTTACAGGATGAGAGCTATGCTCGTGGTGTCCTGTCTACCCAGCACTGTCATACAACGCTTTGAAACTACTATACTGACGGTTTTGTCCTGCACCACAACCTCACTTAATTTGTTCCAACCGTCTACCACTCTGTTTGCTAAAGTGAATTTTCTTATATTTCTTCGGCATCTGTGTTTAGCTAGTTTAAATCTATGACCTCTTGTTCTTGAAGTTCCACATCTCGGGAAATCTTCCCTATCGATTTTATCAATTCTGGTTACTATTTTGTATGTAGTGATCGTATCGCCTCTTTTTCTTCTGTCTTCTAGTTTTGGCATATTTAATGCCTCTAATCTCTCCTCGTAGTTCTTGCCCTTCAGTTCTGGAAGCCACTTAGTAGCATGTCTTTGCACCTTTTCCAGTTTGTTGATGTGCGTCTTAAGATATGGGCACCACATAACTGCTGCATATTCTAGCTTTGGCCTAACAAAAGTCGTGAACAATTTCTTTACTATTTCGCCATCCATGTATTTAAAAGCAATTCTGAAGTTAGAAAGCGTGGCATAGGCTCCTTGCACAACGTTCTTTATGTGGTCCTCAGGTGATAGTTTTAGTCTAGTTTTCAATCTAGAACCACCCCTAGATCTCTTTCTTTATCAGAATTCTTTCATGATTTCTCACATAATATATAGGTTGTGTGGGGTCTATGTTCTCCTATTCCACATTCCATAACATGGCATTTATTAACATTAAATTCCATTTGCCAAGTGGTGCTCCATGTACTTATTTTGACCAGGTCATCTTGAAGGGCATGACAATCATCTAAGTTTCTTATCCTCTCTATTATCTTAGCATCATCAGCAAACATGTTCATATAATTCTGTATACCAATTGGTAGATCATTTATGTAGACAATAAACATCACTGGCGCAAGAATTGAACCCTGTGGTACTCCACTTGTGACATTTCTCCAGTCCGATACATTGCCTCTGATTACTGCTCTCATTTTTTCTATGTCAGAAAATTTTTCATCCATGTTAGAAGCTTACCTGTCACCCCTCCAATATTTTCCAGTTTCCAGAACAACCTCTTATGTGGAACTCTGTCGAAAGCCTTTTTTAGGTCCAGATAGCTGCAGTCAACCCAACCATCTCTTTCCTGTAAAATCTCTGTGGCTCGATCATAGAAACTGAGTAAATTCGATACACAGGATCTTCCAGATCGAAAACCATACTGTCTGTCTGATATTATATCATTTCTCTACAGATATGTGTATGTGTGTGTGTGTGTGTGTGTGTGTAATATGATAAAGCAAAATATGCTAAATGTGTACTCTCTATGGCAGGCTTTTGACGATCATGCTTCCAGACACTGGTAAGCTACTGCTAAAATATAACACTAATTTACATGGCATATTTTATTTTATATAGAAATCTGGCTCCTCTGTCAATTTTTTGACTCACACCAAGCATGAATTTCATTCCTTTGACTACAGTACTTGTGTAATAGTCAGTCTTAATTTCAGCTTCAAAACAGTCTAACAAATTCAAATTTTACACGAGGATATATGGTAAATAATGAATACTGTATCACATTAAAATCAGGTATAAATAACACACAAATATACAGTCTTGATATCATATGTTCTTAAAAAAAATTACTCTATACCAAAATTAGAAAGTGAATAAAATGTCAAAGTATTTTAAGATGGATTGATCATTGATTGAACATTGATACACACAATGTAACAATTTTGGTACCTGGGTAGTAAGCTCTAGATAAGGAGTCTGCAGCCTTAAAGTCCCTTCAAGACAGCTTTCACAAATTGTCTTAGGCAAAGGTCAAAGCAAAGTTTGAGGGGGAATAACTTTGGATACGTTCTATACTTTGGAGGAGGCACAAGTGATTAGGAAATAACACTTACTACCCATGGACAAAAAAGATTATATACAGTAGTGTAATTTTTGTTTTAAATACAGTATATTAAATACCTGAGAGTGAGGTATCTGACAATAGAAGGCGCTGAATCCGATACCAGCATCTGACACTGCAAAGAGAATGCCACCAACGCAGGAGCAAAGTTTGGTCCAGGTCCACAATTCCTCAAAAAGCTGGACTCTAGCAACTGCCCGCCACACCATTGTCATTAACAGGAAAGTGTAGATTGGCATGCCAATGCTAACTAACCCAGACGTCCCTGGCAGTAGAAGGTAAATGCCTGAAAAATTATAAGTGCAGTTAATCTAATAATCCAATGCTATTAAATGCATCTTATTTCAGTATGGTATGTTAAGGTACATTTTTAATCACATTCCTCTTGCAATTTTCAGCCATAAATCTAATTGCGATAGTTTAATGTTATCGGAACAATTTTCATGTAACTTGATATGCAAAGCTATATAAATTCTAAACTTTCTTTGTAGAGATAGCGAGATGTTAATTGAAAGGACTAATCTTCTACATACTAACTACCATGTAATTTTTACTAACTTTTTAGAAATGCACATTATTAACTTCCTACTTTTTATCATGATTTTATTTTACAATATGATTTTTAACTTTTAATGTAAAATCTTTTGTGCGCGTCTTGGCCAGCAAAGTTGACTTAATTGCAAGTCTAGAAAGAAAAATTGTTAGACGTTTCTTTAAGTTCAAAAAAGTTGAACTGGGATAAAAAAAAATTATGTAATGAAATGCCTCTTTCTGATGACTTCTTGGTGGCTTCTTAAGACGGTGCCACCCAATTCAATAAATGTGAGATCCTTGCGAGTTATAGTAAGCCTACTGGGGACCAAAGACCAAAATAAAAGCTCAACCTCCAGACACACTAGAAGCAAGGGACACTAGAAAATCTTTGGAGCAGGATGGGGGGGGGGGGGGGGGACTAACATTCTTGCTAGTTTGATCCTGACCCACACCAGTTATCCTGTTCCATAGTTTTTCTCATGGATATGTCACGTTACAGTGCAACCTCTATTCGGCGAACTACACGAGAGTTGGGACCAACCCCAATTTGTTGGAATGAGGGAGTAATTACAATTGTTTATTTTCACCTATAGATGAATGATTGCTTTCTGGAGGTATTTATGAGATGCATTTTTTATGATTATTATTGACATGAAAAATACATTGCTGTAGCATTTTGTACAATCTACTTGATAATGGTCCAGGACGGACCAAAACGTTGTCTCGTCCTCATCTTCTGTTGTGTGGTTTACTCATATCTTCAGCCACGTTATTGTGACTCATTGTCTGCATTTACCCGGTGCGGGAGGGGAGCCGGTCGGCCGAGCGGACAGCACGCTGGACTTGTGATCCTGTGGTCCTGGGTTCGATCCCAGGCGCCGGCGAGAAACAATGGGGCAGAGTTTCTTTCACCCTATGCCCTGTTACCTAGCAGTAAAATAGGTACCTGGGAGTTAGTCAGCTGTCACGGGCTGCTTCCTGGGGGTGGAGGCCTGGTCAAGGACCGGGCCGCGGGGACACTAAAGCCCTAAAATCATCTCAAGATAACCCGTTTGTTTCTTCTAATGTTGCTTCCATCCACAAAAATCATTAGGAATATAAATGGAGTCATAATAAAAATTACCATTCATAATCTAACATTTCCCCATGCTCTAGGGGTTAATTTCACTGAGCAAAATTTTTATTTCACCCTATCATACGAAGGACAACAACTACCATAAGAACTTGTCTGTAAAGTGACTTCACCACAATTAGCAAATTTACCTGAATTTACCCGAAAGCCACTATTTCTCTAGTGGTCTCGACAAGAACAGGAAGCTGGTGGTTTGTCTAAAGTTGTCCTGATTTGTTTTCAAGCTGGATTTTAAAATTCAGCAGCGTTTTGGCATTTAAGGCTTCAGCGAGTATAGTTCCATAGGCTTATAACCTTACAAGTGAAAAAGCATCTCCAGTTTTCTGTCCTACATTATGGCTTGTTGAACTTGAGACCAGTGCTCCTTGTTTGTTACATCTGACCTCTTGAAGTTGTCTCAATCAATATCCTTCAAATTATTTAGTATTTTAAAAGTTTCAATGAGATCAGCCTTGTCATGTCTTGTTTGCAGTGTTGTTAGCCCTGTGGCCCTCAAACATTCGTGATGTGAGAGTTGACCTAGTTCTGGTATGATTTTTGTTGCCTGGTGCTGAACTTTCTCCAAAGCAGCTGTCTTTCTGAAGATGAGGTCTCCCAGTATGGATACAATTATCCAAGTAGGGGTGCACCACAGATTTATACAGTTGACTTAATACTGTAACTTCTTCTCCCTGAAGTCAAATGTTTGTTAACTATTCCTAGGGTTTGGTTAGCATCTCTACTGCTGCTCTCACTTGGTGCAACTTTCATTGCATGATGGATTCTGACTTCAAGGTTCCTTTCTTCATCAGTCTCCCTTGAAACCTAATTTTCAAAGGATGAAGGGCCCCATATTTTAGTGAACAAAAACCTCTAACTGAAAATTAAAATGAACCAAAGAATTTGGTTTTAAATGTATTCAATGTTGGTGCCTTTCCAAGGCACCAACTTTTTCTTCTAATGTTGTGTTCATCTATGAAAATTCTAAAATAAAAAACGTGATTGGAGCCAAATTAAGAGTAACCATTCATACCTAATATCTCTCATGCTCTATGGACTAATTTCACTAAGCAATATTTTAATTTCAACCTATCATATGATGGATAACTTTCACATAGGTTGGGTAGCCTCTGGCCTTGCTTCCTAAGCAAATCTGCACATCCCCCACTTTGCCAAATCTACTAACACATATTCAGTGAAGGCAGGTAAGGAGAGAAGGCAGTTCAAGAGAAAACTGGACTGTTTTCTAAGAGAACTTCCGGATCAGCCGGGCTGTGGTGGGTATGTGGCCCTGCGGGCTGCTCCAAGCAACAGCCTGGTGGACCAAACTCTCACAAGTCGAGCCTGGCCTCGGGCCGGGCTTGGGGAGTAGAACTCCCAGAACCCCATCAAGCAGGTATCACAACCTGTCCTCTTAAAAAGAACGTCGCTTTTGGTCGTTTGCCCGTATGGTCGAATTTGGACATAATTTGAAAATGAAAAAAAATTTAAAATAAATTTGGGATTTTTTTTTTCAACAACAGTAAGTTAAGGGTCCTCTGATAGGTTAGGTGGGCAGGAAATTCTCATAAAGTTTCAAAACAGTATGAAAAACGTTAATTTAAAGTGTCCTCTTATAACCTCTGCGCGTACGCCGGACGACTCAAACAGAAAACGGAACAGAACGTCACTTTTGTGAGTCAATTTCATTTCAAATTACGTCCAAATTTAGCCATATCACGCATACGAGCCAAAAGTGACATTATTTTTAAGAGGACGGGTTGGGTAAGTAAATCCAGCCTGAAAAGTATGCATTCCACACTGAACAGCAGGGATAGTTTTTTATGTAGAAGTAGATGACTGAGCAGCTGAAAAACTATCGTTTTAGCCAAGAGAACCAAGGACTGTATCTTTGAGAAACAAGAGGTGAAAAAGAGGAAGAGCGACAAGGACCAAGCCAATTCTACCACTTACGAGCTATTCATGACCGTGCCACCTCTTGGGTGGCTTAATCTTAATCTTAATCACCAAGCCAAATCCAGGCATGGACCAGCACAGCCTGCAGGCAACACAGACAATAGGAATTGAAGCCTGCCATCACCTCCCGAAGGAGAGCAGCAAGCAACTTGAGAATTGCCTCCAAGGCTCCAACTGCAGGCAACAAGGATGTAAGTTCATACACATCAACCAATGAATCTAGGTTTCCATGGAGCCAACCAGAGAACAGCTCTCATACAAAATCACAGCCAACCGTTTAAGGACCTTGCGATCCTCCAAAAGATCAGGCCCAGAAAGCAATGGCAACCAAACATGCAGCTGCCACATACCCATATCCTAGGACAAGCATTGCACAAACAGGCAAGCCTGAAGTGGCACAAAGACAGCAGCATTCAAAAATAACTAACCGACTGAACTCGCCTCATGCCACTCGAGTGTTTGAAAAAGGGTAAAAGCTATGTCAGGCCCCCAAGGAAAAGAAAGGGTTACCTGCAAGCCAGGATGAATCAGGAACCTCATACTGTAACCAATAAGCAGCAGCCAACCCAAATTCAAAAGACGAAGGGACCATCCAACATGTAATGCCCTGATCCCGAAGAAGGAACTGAAAGGATCCAATTGTCATGCTGAGTGCAAAGAGAGAATTTGGAAACCTCAGCACATAAGATGCCTCTGGGAACTAACTGAATCATGAAATGCATAGGGGTACAGGTAGCTGTTAAACCCTTGCACTGTGCATCGTATCCTCAAATGTTTGACCGGTGGTAGACATCATACTATGATATGTTTTAAGGTACAGTGCAACATTTGAAACTTCCTGTGTGTACAACAGGACTAACATCCATTTCCTTAAGCCTCTAGTAAATAGATGCCATCTTGGAAAGAAAAATATATGTACGTTGCCTTGTTTACAGACCAGTAGCATCGAGAGAGCAACCATGTGTGGTGAATGCAGCTCCCATCCCAGTTATGTAGCTGTTGATATTTTCACCTATAGATAAAAAATTAATATTTTTTCGATCCCCCTAGCCCAGCATGTCAAGGCTAGGGGGATCGAAGAGAAAGGTGCGCAGGTGAACTAACAAGTTAGCTACTGCACAACTTGGTAGTTGGTTCATTTAGCGGGGGTTCACTATCTCAATTTCTATGCTTTGTTTACCTTACTAATTGTATGTTTTGGTTTGCCCACCTTTGTGGTGGCCTTTTGTTGGTTAGGGTGATCAGTATCTCCTGTTCCTTGTGTCTCTGTAGAGGGGGCCAGGTTTTGGCTTCTGGTCCCTGGTAGGCTTACAATGACATACAAGGGCTTGGCATGGATTGAATTGGGTGGCTCAAGGTGCTGCCACAGAAGCCCTCCCAGAAAAGTCACATTTTCTTGTGGGATCAGTGGGAAAGAGTGGAACAACAGTAAGTGGGAAGATTTCTATAAGGAGGTAGTATGGCCAGGTCTGGGAAGTAAGAGCAGATGGAGAGCTTTTGTTATTGTCATAACAAATGGATGCACCACAGGTGCCTGTGTGGGCAGCATAAAATAAAGCATGTAAGTAGCAGGGGTTAGAGGATGGGAAGAGAACAGAGAAACTACTGTGAGTACAGTACATGCCAATTCAATTGGAGTAAGAGGAGAGTAAATGAATAATTGTGACAAAGCTTTAGAACAAGAATGAAAAGATCAAACATGGAATGCAATGAAATAGCCTTTTCTGGTGGGGGTCCTCAGTACCTCAGTGAGCCAAGTACTGGTTCAGCCTCGGCTTTGGGACAAGCACAAGGTCACCGAGACCCACCTTTGCCGACTGGGAGCCAGAACATATTTTTTATTTTATTTATACAAGAGTTCTTACATTCTTGTAATGTCACTAGCATGCATAACATTTTGGGCAGGTCCTTAATCCTAATTTTCCCTGGAATACAACCAGCCAAATTATTTAACAACCAGGTAATCATTCACTGCTGGATGAACAGAGGTGTACAGCTAGGGATTGGCATCTAATCAATCCTCCCCGGCCAGAATACAAACCCAAGCCAAATTGCTCGCGAAGCACCAGGTGAGTTTTACCACTTGGCCACAGGAACTAACTAACTCTCTACAATGAAAGAAGAGTTTGGATCAGAGATCAATTGATATCCAAGTAAAAAAAAAAAAAACACCAGAGCAAAAATGCAACAAAAACAATCAAATGCTTTTAGAATGTTAGGTACCCAAAAGTAGTAAAGTAAATGATAATTTTCAGTTTGTAAACACATTAACTATGATTCACCCGACTACCACCAGGTGCACATACTAGGCCATCTGGGGTCGCAGCTAGCCTATACCTCTGATCCCCAAGATCCCCTCAGTTTATAGCACCAAATTCTAACTCTGGCTCATGGTAGGCAATGGTGAGCCTCGATGGCCCGATGCTTATCCATAAGACTAGGCTAGAGCAGCACTTACCTTAGCAAACTACTGAGGTGGTACTCTTAGAAACATGCCTCTTAGGGACAGACATGGGAAAATGGAAAGCCGTTGCATAAAATGCTGGAAGATTAAAAATGGGGTACCATTTCAAAGATTTACACACGCACACACACACACACACATTGAATAACTGCATAAGAAAGAAATAAAACTTTTGAGATAATTCGGCATTAGATGGGAATAAAAGGTGTTAAAGTAGAGGAGGGGAAGGGAAATGGTGCTGAGCTCGGATCACTATGTTGTGTTGACAATATTGAAGGCAAGTTACCAAGGAAATGAGGAAAGCATAAAGTGAGTTAACAAATAAAATAATGCTGAGGTACAATTGTCAAAAGCAGCAGCATGAAGCATTGTCTACAAGCAGAAATGTTGATAAGGGCATTTTCAGATATCATGAAGCAGCAAAGGTTATGTGGCAAAAATATTAAAAATACTGTAATAAACAGTTGACCACGATGGAATGATACAAATATTAATAACCGAGGAAAGAAAATATGATAAAATTTCAAACGAAAATAACTAGTCAAGCATGAAAATAGAAATTTGCATGTACGTATTTGAAAACGGTACTGTGCAAATGGGGGGGGGGGGAAAGACAAGCAAATAGATCAATAGGAAAACAATTATGAAATGAACAATCATCATGCAGGATCTAAAGAAAGGGTTTACCACAAAAGTAAACTCCTTTCAGCTACCTTTGACTTATGGAATTGGAAAAGGGAAGTAGAAAGAACAAGAAAATATCACTGCAGATCAGATGGCCAGTGCAAGGGATGGATTAAAAATAAGCTATGTTTATTTACCTTCTCAGTACTGGTGCCTCCCCCACACAAGTTGGAAATGGGGTAATGAAAATGCATGTAGGTGCAATACTGAGTGTTCCTCTTACCAAATTATCCCAAATTTCAGGAGATATCAATATTTTTTTGTGTATGTGAAAAAGATGCCTATTTTTTAAGCAGAAGAATCAGTACGTACGCCGAGACAAACTTATTGCTTAAAAGTGACTGTGGCCTTCAGTAGCTGCAAAGTCTGGTGTTTAACTTCCAGGGCAGGACAAATATTCCTAAGTATTAACAAAAACCACTTCAACAATAATATTAAGCAATTTTAGGCACACGTAACCCCCCCCCCCCCCCCCCACCATCATTGCTGTAACAGTGACTCGAGGCTTTGTATGCCTATTATGCTTAATACTGCAAGTGAAATAAGCCAAAATAACACACGTGACAAACCTAGAGCTGTGAGAGAATACACAACAGTGGCAACGTATATGTTGAAGGGTCTAAAGCCAAAGGCAGAGATATACAAGATCTGTGCAATTAGGAATGATCCCAGGCCATGGACAAAGAAGTCTTCCCAGATAAGCAGCGCGTCACCGAAGACCGAGAAGATCAATCCCAACAATATTCTTCTAGAATAAGCATACCTGAAAGAGATTTACAAGATCAGATTACTTCATAAAATAGAACAATGTAGGTGATGTAGCTATAGTTTAAACCTCAAAACTTTCACTAATAATACCTGTACCATAAAGTATGTCATTTTCACACAGAAATCACAATAGCGTGATGCATCAAATGAACAAATCCACAAGGGCCGTGACGAGGATTCGAATCTACGTCGGAGACATAGGTTTGAATCCTTGTCACGGCCCTTGTGGATTTGTTCATTTGATGCATCACACTATTGTGATTTCTGTGTGTAATGAATTAAGGGTAAAGAGGTAGAACGGCCTAATGACATAGCTCGAGTGCATGGGGGAATTGTGTATAATCCTGGTTTGTGTCTCGGAGAGGCTGCAGGATCCAAGTAAGTTTGGTAGAACTTTTGGTTGCAATTCTTTTACCATGTCGTAGCTCAATCGATTAAGGCAGCGTCTGGGATGCTCTCGGATGTAGGTTCGAATCCTCATTACGGCCCTTGTGGATTTGTTCACGTCATTTTCATATAAAAAATATTTAATACTAGACTATCAGACTACAATGAGAATAGAGGAAATATGCATGAGTAAACTGGTAATCTTATTAGTCCCATGCAAATTCATAAAAAAAATTAATCCACATGTAATATCCCTCCTTTTCTTCCAGAGAACCACAACACACAGTATACCAACTATCCGTTTCTAATTAGCCCAAGACCTCACGTTGTCTTTTTCTGTTGTACATAGTTGGATTTTTTGTTTTGTTAGCACAGGTGGGTACAATAACAGATGACTCCTGACTCTTGTTGGCAGGCTGAGAGCTTTCCCATCCCACAGCTCATGTTAAGTCATACTCGCCAGTTTCTCTGAAATATGACCCACTAATCATTTAACAATCAGATACCCAAATACTGCTGGATGAACATAGATATTGTATATAGTTTAGGATTTGTGCCTAGTTAATCCTCCCTGTCTAGGATATGAACCTAGGCCAAATTGCTTGTGAAGTGTGGGGTGAATGTGTAATCTCTGCACCACCACGGGTCTGCACTTGGACATTTCCTAAGATATCCTACATCCTAGGCTTAACTTTAAATTTAGCAACCCATCCTCCTGAAATGATAGTACTTATAGTAACTATTTGGTCAAAAGTACCAATGTGTAGTGATGGAGCACCAAAAAGTTGACTTCTTGTATATATTTTTAATTTAGTAGTGTAGAAAAATTAAACTTAAAACCTAACAAACATTCCTAGGCCAATTATAGATATAAAATATAAAGTTGCGCATCTCTGTGTGCAACCGCCTGGTTTCAACAATATTCTATACAAACTCGTATCCAAAATTGCTCATTTGAAAGTATTATAGAGTTCCAGACTGGTTTTCAACATTTAACACTGTTGTTTCTATATATTTTCAATCACTGTCTTTTAAATATGTATATTCTTTGATGTTTCACTGTTTTAGGGAGGATATTTTCCTGCCATGACAATGTAAATGTGCAGAACTGACTATTGTACTAGTGGGAATTCTAAAGTCAAGAGTTAAATATACCAAGTTAAACACACTTCATAAGGGTTATTACATAATACAGTATTGTATTATAAAATACATGTGCATTAACAATAACATTTACAGTATGGTATATTATGCAAGAAAATTTTACGTTAATACATTTTACAATGGCAGGCAATCGAGGAAGGTAGCCAGTGTCCTAATGCCAGGTCTATCTTGTAATGCAAACAATTTTATGTTAAAACTAAGAATCCTAGCCATACCATAACACAAAGAATATGGTTGGTGAGCAAGTTGGTTGTCAGGATTTGTGTTTGGGGAGACGAGGAGGGGAGTGCTGTGCATGCAGGTGTTGACGTTGGACGGTTTGATGACCAAACCATGCATTGGAGAGTGAAGAAATGATGATATTTCATTCCATCCTGGACCATTATCAAGTCATCACACAACTTGATAATGGTCCAGTATAGACCAAACCATCATTGTTTCTTCCCTTTCTGATATGTGGTTTGGTCATCATATCTTCAGCAATGTTATTGTGACTCAGCGTCTGCATTGGATTGTTTGTTTGGGTTGGTGTGTGGGCAGGTGCTGTGCAAGCAGGTGTTATGGTACAGGTAGTCAGTCTTATCTCTCATTTGGTAACAACTTAGAATTTGCCAACCTGCAATTTCCCCTCGAATGGTATGACTAGATTGCTATTCAGTGTATGGTAAATAATTAAATAAAAACAAAGGGTTTCCTGTAGGAAACTACTGTATTCATTATCAATAGGAAGACAAATTTTATGATTTTACATAAATTGTAAAGGTTTCAAGTTAAATCAATGAAATCATGACCACTCGCTCTAAAAAAATATAAAAATAATCATAGCTGACAATGGGCTACATGCCTCAATATTGAAATGAAGCCCAGTTGTATTACCATATTTAAGTGTTGAGGGTTTGAAGTCAATATAATAAGGTTTTTGAAAGGTTTTCAATGGGAAAAAAATAGAACAGTTGTTAAGGCACTGCAGTTTCAATAGCATTCATACTTCTTTGGTGGAAATTTAAGAATTTAAAATAAGTCAATATGGCAAGGCATTTTCAAATACAGTACTGTACTGAACAAAAAATGCAAAAGAAAATACAAGATAAAACCATAAATTATCAAACTACATTTGTTTGATAATTGTACTGCTCAAAGTTGAAAGTTTGAGGACTGACCCTTAGGGAGGACTGACCCTTTGAGGGCTAACCCTGTTCAAAGTTTGAGGCTGCTACAGGAGGGGACACAGAAATCTGTGTCATGTAGTTACACAATCGCTTCTACGGGATCGATCAGATGAGAACATGTTCCAGATGAGAACACGTTCCATATAAGAACATGATCTCATCTGGCTACATTGTTCTCATCGTTTTAAATATTTATGTTTACAAATGTAATACTGTACCTTGCATATGTATATTCTTGTACTTTACAAATATAAACCTGGATTAAATGAAACTGTGAACTCTAATACAGTAGTAGAGAAAATGTAACAGTATTGTACTCTACTTACTCTTCTCCAAGGCTCATGCCATGTAGCAGAACAAAGGCAATCAGAGAGAGAACTGGCAGACATTTTATCACTACTGCAAAAATAGAAGGTTGGTCTGACGGTATAAATAAAACGAAGTAGATTGCTACGGTCTTGAAGAATGGCACCAACTTGGGACCCACGCTCTTTAACTGGAAAAAAGAAAAAGAAAGCATTAGACCTGTGCAATATAATATTATACAGTATGTAATTACAAACACCTCCACATGGCAATATAATCTTAGTTGTTCTAAAGATGGATCATAAACAATCAATATTAAAAAAAAAAAAAAAAAAACACTGTACCAGTTAATGCAACCTCATCAAAACTGCTTTACTATACAGTGGAACATCAATTGACGAATGCCACTCTTTACAAATTTTTCGGTACACTAGGTCAATTTTCTCGTAAAATTTGACTCGATATTCGAGGTTTGCCAGTGTTTGAGGTTGTTGATACATGCATGGGTTGAAGAGTAGAGTAGTTAGTAAATGGAATGCACTAGGAAGTGATGTGGTGGAGGCTGACTCCATACACAGTTTCAAATGTAGATATGATATAGCCCAGTAGGCTCAGGAATCTGTACACCAGTCGATTGACAGTTGAGAGGCGGGACTAAAGAGACAAGTTCAATACCGGCAAGCACAAATAGGCGAGTACAAATAGGCGAGTACGTGGTTCTGCTGGACGCGGGATGAGGCGCACTCAGTTTACCAGTGTATTCCGCCTAGTAACGATTGCTCTTGAATTCTACGAGAAAAATCAGTTTTTTTTTTCTGAAGATAAAAGTTTTTATTATACTGTATAAAAGTTTTTATTATACTGTATATCATGCCATGGGTCCCAAGAAAATCAGTGGTACACATGGAAAATACTGGAGGGTTAGGTCCCAAATCTACACAGTAAAATAACGTACTGGAGTGAACGATATGGAAGAAAATGCAAAATTGAACCAGTGAAGAGCAGAGGTGCCATAGGCACAATCAGAGAACACTGTATAAACATCAGAGGTCCGCGGTTGTTTAACGTCCTCCCAGCAACTATAAGAAATATTGCCGGAACAACCGTGGACATCTTCAAGAGAAAACTGGATGATTTTCTAAGAGAAATTCCGGATCAGCCGGGCTGTGGTGGGTATGTGGCCCTGTGGGCCGCTCCAAGCAACAGCCTGGTGGACCAGACTCTCACAAGTCGAGCCTGGCCTCGGGCCGGGCTTGGGGAGTAGTAGAACTCCCAGAACCCCATCAACCAGGTATCAACCAGAATGTCCCTTCCTCATTAAGAAAATTTGTGCAGTATGGGAAGAACTGCAAAGATATGCTGAAAAATCTCACCCAGGTAAAGCTGTAGCAGGCCGTTGCATTAACCTTTTTAACGACAATGTGATGTCTCAGTTCTAATTGATGAATTTACTTTTATGTTGTAATAAACATTGTTTGGCATTCGTACTCAAATACAGTGTGTGAAAGTTGTAGGTCACTGTTGAAATAAAATAAAAAAATAACTCCCCCCCCCCAAAACAAAATATAGGGATAATTATAATGATTAAGGGTATACTTTATACAAGTAAAAAAGCCCTGATCTGCTACCTAATCATCAAAACAACCTAAAGAAACAAGGAAAATAGAGTTTAAAATCTGTAAAAAAATCAGCAAAAAAAAAAAATCAGCGGAAAAAAAAAAAAAAAAAAATCAGCGGAAAAAAAAATCGAAGTCCCAAGTTCTAGAAGTTGTGACCGATATATTTGTTGACCAATTTAATTCTGTCTTCACATAGTTAGGTACGTGTATGAATTCTCCAGGCTGTATAGGATACAACAAATTCAATAAACAAAAGGAGGAAAAAAATAACTAATAACCTAAAAATAACAAATTCCCCCTAAAAAAAATATTTTTGGGACATTGTTGAAAGTAACTGATAACATTGGGAAATGTATTTATATGATATATAACAAAATAGAGCATAATAACAATTATTATTATGTATTACTCACCGATGCTATACACACACACCAGCTGTATATCCACTTTGTGGACACTTCTTACTACAATGCACGTGTAAATTGCATTGAAAGAGCTCTGATTTAGATTCCCAAATGATGTTCTTATATTTGCCAGCATTCCATATGCTGCTAATGTTATCCTGTTTGTGTGCAACTCCGATGTGTCGGAATTATATCCACTCCCAGATCCTTCTCTCATCCTGATTCCTGCAGCTGCCTTCCCCGTACCTTACCTTACATTACCTTGTGAAGTCGGGGATTAACGTCCCAGCGGCCCAGTCCTCTACCAAGGTTTCCTGGTTGCTAGACTAGTCAACCAGGATGTTTGATGCGGATGCTCGCAGCCTAACATATGAATCACAGCTTGGTTGATCAGGTATCCTTTGGAGGCCTTCATCAAATTCTCTCTTGAGCACTGTGAGGGGTCGTCCAGTTATGCCCCTTATGTTTAGTAGAAATGGGTTGAACAGTCCCGAGCCTCTAATGTTTTGATAGTTCTCTCTCAGAGTACCTATTGCACCTATGCTTTTCAACGGGGGTATTCTGCACATCCTGCTATGCCTTCTGGTCTCATGTGGTGTTATTTCTGTGTGCAGGTTTGGGACCAGCTCCTTGCCTTATAGTGTAGATGCCTTTTGGTCTCCCTTTTCCCTTTTCCATCCTCATTACCTTACACTTGTTTTGATAGTCAAAACTCCAGCAATCATGTCTGACCACTCCTAGAGCTCGTCAAGGTTCTCCTGTAATTTTCTGCAGTCCTCATCAGCTTTGCATCATCTGCAAACATTGACATGTCTGAGCTCATTCCATCAGGTAGGTCGTTCCCATAAATTTGGAACAGTAGTGGTCCCAAGAACAGGGCCTTGTGGGATCCCACTTGTTACATTCCCCCAGTTTAAAACCACCTCTCTGACTCTTTGTTGTCTGTCCTTCACATACTTCATTACCCAGTTCAGTGTTCTCCCAGTTATCCCAGCCTGGTTCTCCATCTAGTATAGCAGTCTTTAAAATTTGCGAGTTTTAAATCTCCTGACGATTGAAATGTGTCGTATTTTCTTTTAAAGTTGTTGTTTTAGGTTATCTTGAGGTTATCTCGAGATGATTTTAGGGCTTAGCGTCCCCGCGGCCCAGTCCTCGACCAGGCCTCCATTTTGTTACACTCCCTCAAGAAGCAGCCAGTAGCAGCTGTCTGTCTCACAGGTACCTATTTACTTCTAGGTAACAGGGGCATCAGGGTGAAAGAAACTCTGCCCACTTGTTTCCGCCTCCACCGGGGATCGAACCCGGAACCTCAGGACTACGAATCCGAAGCGCTGGTGGTGGAGACTGTCAGGCCCCTGGTGGTGGTGACATCCACGACATCATCCTTCAAGTTATTTATCTTGTTGACCGACTGTGCTGTTTACCAGTACATCCTGATGTCTCCACGACTCGCTCGAGTGTCCACCTTCCACTGATGTCATCCTGTGCTATTTTCTTTTAGTGATAGTTGTGGTGCTTGTGATAGTGGTGGCTGGGGTACTGGAGCTGTTGGTAGAGGTGGTAGAAGCATGGGTGAGGTGGTAGATAGTAAAGAATAGGTAGGTCTACACACACCCCTCTCTTAGGAGTGTTTGTGGTTACTTATAACACACTTAGTATAGAAATTCTTATTTCTAATGTAATACAGAAAGGGAACCAAATTCTTCTCTTTCAACCGAGATAATCTTGTAATGCAGTCAATGTGCCAAGGAACAAGTCTCCTTCCTGACCACCGCAAGCTGAATAGCTTAAGTGATGACTTGTCAACAGTTAACCCAATATTTGATCAGGTATGACATTTTACCTAAAATCTTCGGCAAGTATCCCAAGTTTGCCTACTGTACATATACTCGATTTCTAACGGGAACGATTTCTGGGTCATGTTTTAATTATTTGCACTTTTATATACTTCTCAAGAGATAAAAGGTCAAGCAGCAGCCGTTCTAGTTTAATCACTTTAGAAAGTTTTTCTTTCATGGTGGAATATGCCTGACGATATTAGTTTATAAACGCCAGCACTTAGGCAGAGGACATTTTTTGAATGGTATTATTTATATTTCGTTGCAAATATATGCAAATATACTAGATCGTAAAGCTTCGTTGACATAATGGTATCAGTGAGGCGTGGTAAGAGGCTGGGGGGGGGGGGGAGCGACCAGCCAGTGTCATCAGCAGTGGGGGGGGAAGTAACCCCAGGATATCCTGCCAATATATCTTCACCATAGATAACTTGCACCCGCCAGTCGCCTCCCTCTTGTTCTTTCTTATTTCTCTTCTCCCTTCTCCGTGCCATACTTTGACTCTTCACTTCACTCTGCAATTCTTAAATTATCCATACTATTAGTTCTTGTCTGAACACCCGCGTAATGCCTGTCATTGCTCCCCTTCACCGTCCCTGCCAGGCAGCCGAGGTCTCTCAGCAGGATCCACCCCATTTACTCCCTTCCTCCCTCCCTCAAAGTGTGTGTTCCGTCCCCCGAGAGAGCCACAACTCACTGAACAACCTGTCCTCTTAACCATTTTACGTTCAGACCTGAAACTTCCTCTGGGACAGTGCTTGCTTGCTTGCTTGCTTACCTGCCTGCCCCACATTTTTTATCTCCCCCTTCCCCAATGAAATGTAGGTCGCAGATCCCCCTTCATACCCAACTTTTGTCCTCTCGAATAATACACAACATTTCAACGTCAAAATCCCCCAACGGACAAAATATGATTTACTATAAATCCTAGCGACTCACAAACATCCATGTTTCCTATGCGTGGATCCATCGGCAAGGAAAGGCATATCATGGTAATAAGGTTAGGTTAGTACACCATTTTTTGCGACGTTGTGACAACTGGAGAGAACGGGCTGCATACCCACGGGTTCACTTCGTGAGAGCAGCCCGTCAAGGACTCTATCAACGCCGTTACGTAGGTTAAGCACGAAGAGGGACCCGGGGGAGAGGAGAACCACCTATATTATATGATGAACTTTCAGACACGCTATCTGCCTACTTCCCTTCCTGTGTGCCTGTCCTCATTATCATCTTCCCTTCCGGCCCCCTCTCTCTGTTATCCTGCCATGCTGATATGTCTGCTTGTTTGTCATCCTGACCACTGTGCATGCTTGCTTGCTTGTGTGTGTA